TAAAATCATGCAATTACACCAAAGCAATAAAAACTTTATATGTTATTATATATAAAGCATATCTGGGGTCATAGTATTTCAAAATTACAGGTCTATCTTTTAATCTGTGTTTGCACTCATCCTAAAGAGAGCTTCTAATGCAAGATACAAAATAAATAACAGCAGTGACAGGTGAGGATACAGTTTTTTGAAGGAGGACATGGTCACGGGATGGGGTTCCTAAGGATGGCCGTGATCTCCCAAGGCCCCTTGACCGTGCCAATTCGGCCTGACAGGCACCCTCTATTCTTGCCCACCATATCTTGATGTATTTTGTAATATAGGGAAGCTGCCTTCACATCCAGTTGGCCACGGTCCTGATGGATTTCCTTGAACCCCATGGGTCCTGGACCTCTTGTGGGTCCCATTTCAAACTAGATGTCCCAGGGACACCCCAGCCTTATGGACAATATATGTGGCTCCAAACCGCCCCTTTACCATGCCCCAAGCCTCACAGATGGTACTGGTGTTGTCTCGCCTAGGCCTCATTATAGTTCAGCCCCTTGTCACTGCGCCCGGCTCTCTGCAGCCCTTGTCACTGCGCCCCACAGCGCCCGGCTCTCCGCAGCCCTTGTCGCTGCTCCCCACAGCGCCCTCAGTGGCGCTGGGGTCTGTGCACCCCAAATGCCATGCCCTAACTGGTGCCAGGGTCCCCACACTGCAGTTGGCCCTCCAATAAGGCCTCCACCTTCCCCAAATAGCCTCACCCAAGCTACCAGTGTTATAAAACAACAACCAAACATAAGCCCCTGGTCTATACCATAACATAAGCTACATAAGGTGTGCTTGGCCCCTTTACATTACCTGAAGCAGAACTTAGGCCTCTTCCCTTCACTTACTCTAGGAGGCCTCCTTCTCCCTTGGCCACCAGCAGAGAACTGAACTCCCTAGTCCCCGTCCTGGGGTTTATATGGGCCCAGGGCCCTGCCCCTTCCAGCCAGCTGACCAGGTGCAGGCGCAGGCTAATTTCCTCATTAGCTAGCTGCCATGGCAACCTGCACCTGGGCTCCTGTCTGTCTCTTTGGGTTCTCCCCAAACAGTTTCTGTTTTTCTAGGAGCAGGCACCTAAGTGCACTGCGACAGACATCTTAGGTATTCATATGATGTTGGATTTTGCCCAAGTGAGTCATAATTCTATAGCAGAGAAAAAAATGTGTATCTCATAAATGCAGGTTGTACCAAGTAGGGTAGCGTGAAATTTCACTGCCTGTTTTGTTTCACCATTTTGAGGTTGAAACAGCAAAATCAAAATGGAACAGAGATAGTTGAAACAGCCTCAAAACAAAATGAGGCAGGTTGAAATGTTTTGGCCATTGGTACTGTTTCAACATTTCACCCATAGGCTATAATGGGGAAGGACAAAGTAGTAAACTGCTGTGTGTATGGAATACTTCCAAAAGCATTAATAAGAATGCTGACAAAACACAGAGACAGTCAGTTGCATAAGCACCCATGTCATGAGTTTTGCCTGTCAGCACCTAGGAGTACAGGGCCCCAGAACCCTCCTGCACCTATCTCCTTAACATCTGGCAGGCTTTGTGGCTGCAGCAGGGCCAGCAACCAGGCCAACAGTAGTTTCCCCACCCCCATGCCCCAAGACAGTTGCACAGGCACCCATGACACAAGTTTTGTCTGTCAGCAGCTGGAGGTGCAGGGCCCCAGAACCCAGAACCCCCTGCACCTATCTTCTTGAAAGTTGGCAGCCTTTGTGGCCTCAGCAGGGGCTAGCAGGCCTGCAGCTTTCACCATGCTGCACCTTAACACACAAAGTGTCACCCATGTCACGAGTTTTGCTGGTCTGCAACTTGAGGTAGAGTTTCCCCCAAACCCCTGCACCTATCTCCTTGAAACTTGGCAGGCTTTGTGGCCTCCACAGGGCCTAGCATGCTTGCAGTTTGACCCTGCTGTGGCTTAGCACAGACACACAACACCAGTTTTACTTTCAAGGATTTCATAGATTCATAGATGTTAGGGTCGGAAGGGACCTCAATAGATCATCGAGTCCGACCCCCTGCATAAGCAGGAAAGAGT